CGTACATAATACCCTCCTAACTGTCATTTTCTGCCGATTTGGACAGAGATAATTGAATTAAAGTGCGGTGGAGAATGCTAGCCTTGCCACGGCCGCCCTGACAAGGAACACTTGTTGGCGACAGCTCGCAGATGTGCGGTGATCATTACCACGTGGGGTCTCCAAAAGAAACGGGCCAGGATTGATGTAATTGGAGCAAATAGTGACTCCGCGAAGACGGATGGAGTGAATGAGTTAGTGGTGAAAAGAAGGTCACTAAGAAGGATACGTTCTGAGAAGGCTGAAGAAAAAAGGTAGCAAAGAAAAGTAGTATTGATGTAATTGAATTTGGTGCAAATACTGACTCCGCGAAGATGGATGGAGTGAATGAGTTAGTGGTGAAAAGAAGGGCACAAAGATGGATCCGTGCAGGCAAAAACTTGTGAAGCTTCTATGGACGCCATCTCCTCTGGCCAATGATATCCCATTTTCGGCGGGTTTCTACTATTTATTCAGCATGCAAAGGAGTCTGCTGGAGAATAGATGGAAGGAATGAGTGGTGAAAAGAAGGGCACAAAGAAGGATACGCTCTTAGAAGGCGGACAAAGAGAGAGAGACTCGAGAAAGAAAGAGGAAGTACCAAAGAAAAAAGTGGTATTGATGTAATTGACTTTGGACAGCAAATACTGCGAAGACGGATGGAGTGAATGAGTAAGTGAACTCGTAAAAGAAGAGCACACAGAAAGTACTTAAGCATACCAGAAGGATTCATCCTTGAAAGGCGAACGCAAAGGCAGAAGAAAGGAAGAGGAAATAGCAAAAGAAAAGCCTGGATAGAGGCTACAATTTCTAATCTTGGCAGCCGCTTCCCGAAGCCTGGTAGAGGCTATCCGTCCCCTCATCAGACGATGAAGCTGTCCAGAGGACCGGGCCCAGCCCCGGTGTCGCCAGACGGCTGCCTGGCCCGCTCCCCCGCCCGTGGTGAGATTGCTGAGGTCCCAGGGGAGAGGATTTGGGGTGTGCGTGATAAGAACGTGCTGCCGTCAGACTGACAAGGACGATTCAGACGTCTGGGAGGAAAGACAGGACCTGTCGACCACATCGCCTTATCAACGCTCTATTTATATATAGACTCACTTATAAAACACAACACACGCACAGACAGACACACACATACACACGCACAGACAGACACACACATACACACGCACAGACAGACACACACACACATACACAAAGTAGTATACTAACTCCGCGAAGACGGATGGAGTGAATGAGTTAGTGGTGAAAAGAAGGACACAAAGAAGAAGGATACGGCGGGCACAGTCTACTGAATTGCATGCTACAAAGTCAAAGCGTCTTGAAATTGATGAAGCAGGGTGGATGCCCTCTTCAGTGCACCCTTACATTGAATCTTATTTTCTTCTTCTTTTTTCTTCCCAGTAGGTGCAAACCTCCATTATTGGTTGAGGGCTCCAGCACGGTGGGGGTGGGGGTATTGGATGGGGAGGTCGCTCGTGCAAGTTTTGTGTGTGTATGTTGTGGTCTGCAGCTCCTCGTCAGCCATCTCCGCACCCACCAGAAGTGAACTAAGAGGAACGAACAAGAAGAATGCAGCTCCTCAATGGGCAGGGGCGCCACTCCCTGACCGCCATTAGGGTGGCGGTGAGTACCCGAACTTTTGCCTTGACTTATACAAATGAAGGTGGTCATAGACATTGAGACTGGAAATGAGTACTCAGAAACATTAAAACAGCTGTAATATTTTACTTCTATACGATCATACATATACATCTACACATTCAGTCAAAAGAACATTGTACTGTTACCAGTTTGAACTCAACACAACATCTTCATCAATAGTTTTCCCTGAATTTTTGTATGATACGAGCCAGCTCTAAATGAAATGTTTCCAGTAAACGAGGTCGATCTTGTCAAATGATCTTTTCAGGAATGCTTTTCCTCTACTTGAAACGGAAGTCTATACTGTATATACAACATGTCAGTAGAATTTATTTCGTATTTCTATTTTGTCAGTTGAAACAAGGGAACATTGGTTGAAAGTCGCTGTACTTTTGTTGTATCAGTAGAGCTTTCTGTATGTATGTATACACAAGACGTTCTACTGTTTAAAACCTAGCTACCACCAATATGATACACACAATGACATTAAAATGTCTTTTGGTGTAATGTTTATATATGTTGTACATGAATGTACATTTTATTAGCCCACTCAAAGGGATATATTGTATCTATACATGCAATTTTCTTGATTCTCTTCAACTAACTTTCTAAAACACCTAGATAGTTTATTTCTTTCATATCTATTACATCAAGTATGAAAGCTGTCTGTACGATATATATTTCTACATTTTGTAATATTATCTTTCTAAACCTGGACACTGTTACTTATACAAGACACATTGAATGAAGTATTGCACTTAAAAAGAAGGGCACTTTCTTGTAAACTTGCTGTCTAGATGGATTGACTAACTTTTGACTGTTTGTAATGAAAAGGTTTTTAGTAGAACTGTGTTTTGATATGCATCTATCAAATTCAGAATCATATCACAATTGAGTCTTGAACTTAGCTGTCTCGAACAGTGAACAAAAAATAAAAAAATTGCCAGGAGTAAAACCTTGAGCATATGGCTGGTACCTTAAATCCACCTGTTACTCCAGTATACAATAATTCAGAAAGCGCCGTAGAGTCTAAATCAATTTCAGTTTGTAGCGAACCAATTTGTGACAAAGTAACAAATCAAGACCATGAGTACCAGAAGAAAGATTGGGAAGACATTTTGTAAAAATTTCAAGTCAAACAATGCTGGAAGAATTACAGCTGCCCAGTTTTGTATGGACTGAATGACAAACTTAAAATTAATTCTTACTCGAACACATTCACATATATGATGACAGAAGTCTAAATCCGTCCTACTATAAAATTGCAACATTATGTAACCCAACACTAGTTACCATGGTAACAGACACAACATTGGTTCAGGTCATTGAGCTCACTGCTTTGAAAAGAAGAAACTGAGCAAAAACACACTGTTTTCCTTCTGTAAACAAAAAAATACTGAAATCAAAGCTAGCTGGTAATATTTCTATAGTCAAGTATGTTCCACATAATATTCCATTCCTTTAGCAAGAAAACAGACAATGTACCCTAGCTAACACACAAATAACATTTAGACTTCCACAGTTGACAATATCTGAGTGAGAGATTCTTATTATGTTTGGTCCCCCACCAACTGTTTTCTTCTTCAATTTTTTTTAAAGAAGTGCAACAAGCAGTACAATCTACTGTATTGTATTTTTTAAGTGCTGTACAAGTGTAATTCTGATTTCTAGAAACAAGAGACTGGTGTTTCTGAATATCTAAGTTAAATAATGCATCTGTTGCAACATTAAGAGGGGTTTACAATATAGCAACATACAGTTTCCTCCAACTATAAAGGCCACATCAATTTGATTTATTGGTTCTCAGATTTTTGCAAGAAGTCAATGAAGTAGGCAAGCCAAAAAAAGATTTACAATGAATTTTTAACTTTCGATAAAATCACTGAATTGATAAAAGAAAAAACTGTGACAGGTTAGGAGGATTTTCTTTAACTGTTGCTGCTAAAATATGAGCATTTTGGAGTTGATTTAGAATTTGAATGGAACATATACGTTTTTTTTTGCAAATCAGAAAAATGGAAGCAACAAATTAAATTGCTGTGGCTTTGTTTTAGCTAACAATCACATTTTTAGATTCCATAAAAAGTACCAAAAACAACTGATATGTTTGCTCCATGATTCAATTTAGACATACCACATGTTTGTTGGTTAATATCTTACTTTAATTTCTATTTAATTGTACTACGTTGTACAGGTATATACAGAAGTTTGTATATAGTATTTGTATCATAGGATATTGCACATAGTCCATGTTTGTTCTTCCTCTAGAGCAGATAGTTTGGATATCTTTGTTTGTACTTCATGCAAGGCAAGTAGACATGAGCTAGGTTTCATATTCTACTTAACAAATGCCTCCGCCCTTGAGCGGTCGCCAAAATACTACACACTTTGCTACTTTGCAAGGCTAAAAGAGTAAGTTAATAATCATTCTGTTTAATACTGACCAACCTCCAGGTCCAATTCCATTGTTTGAAAGTAAATTTCCTTGTCTTTTCCTTGAAAAATATGGTGAATTCGTTGTATAATAGACATCCAGAAAGTACTTAAGTACATAGATGTATGACATTGTTCAGTGTAGGCTGACATCAGCCATTTTTGTTTGGAACTGTGAATTTTGATGCACTTCCTTCAAATATAGTGGTTGCAAATGATGCACATAAAGTGAAAACGTTTCCAGTTTTCAAAAGATTCACTCACATCTATATGCTTTTTCCCTCTGGCTCTCATAAGGCCACAGGCATGCATACAGCAGGAAATGAAATAACACTTTCTGTGAATCTTATAGGACCTTTGACCTAACTTCCTGTCAGTAGCTCCAAGGTGCCTAGTAGCATTTGGAACCAACAACAGAAACACAAGCAAAAACACAAAACATTTAAAACAAACCTCAGTACATGGAAGTAAAAAATTGGATGTGGATCTACATGTACATACATTTCTTGACCACATCCACTTACAGAAACTATAAGCTCCTTGCTCCGAGAGATGTGTTTTCAGCAATCTTATATGTTACAGCCAGCTGTAACTGTATTCTATCCCTTTAACTCCCTAAGATGAGACCTCACATGAAATATACTAGCATGTGAACACGTTCGACTTTTCAACCTCTGTAAATTTAAAACTTTAGATAACCACTTTTCATATTGTTGTCGTTGAATTTTTATATACATCATCTTTACCCATTGTTCTGCGGACCCTGTTTCAGCCATAATCTGTTTCTTTTTGTCAGCAACTTTTGGGCATCAGGAGTCCTGGGTTCAATTCCCATGACTGTCTGTCACTGATGCCTTACAGCAAAAACGTTCATAAAACCTTCACAACTTTGTTTGGCTCTTTTATACCCAAGACCTGCAAGTCTTATAAGAAAGAGCATGTCCTCAGAAGGTTTATTTAAGAACTTTGAGAGTTCTTACCACTCCTTCAACTGAGGAATCTTTAAGCTCAAACACAGAAGCATGTCTTTTACCTCAGTTAGGTTTGAACAACCGAATGGAATCTGTATCTGTATCAGTATAGCCGGTATAACCGCCCTTTGGCATAACACACCAGCTAAGGAAACGAAAGGAAATGAAAGGTTTGTTAGACTTCTTCTTCGATGGAGTCAGGGTTGTTGGTGAGCAGACATGGCCTGTGTGTCTGTACGCGCCTGGCGATCACGTGCAAGAGGTCCAGAGCGGAGTCCAGCTTCTCGTCCATGGTTGCCACCTGGAGGGGCGACAAGAGAACACAGTGTGTTCGGTTACTCTACTGCACAGAAAAGGGAAGAAATCAGAGATCTCAGACCTCTAGGAAATGTTTTCGGTCTTTGTGAACATACTGGGACTTAAGAGGAGATTGTATAAAGTTGTTGTACAGTGGACAAAAAAGGAAATATACACAGGGAAAAATCTACACAGGGAAATCTACAAGTGGCAAAATAAAAATGCCTCTAACCTACACTTTTGCCACACTGACATCCAATGATTTTCTCAATGTGTTTTTTTTTGCACTACAAATTTTTGAATCTTTCTTTGCACAGTTCCATGCCCACTCCTATGACAGGTAAACTTACCTGGCACAAAGTGAACAATCGGTACTTAATGTGCAGGTGTACAACAGGTGAGTAAGAGGAGTAATGAGGGCCTCTTAATGCACTAATTACCCCTGGGAGCTTTACGACCCGGCATGGGCCATCTCACACCTGCCTTACGTCTGTGGGACATGTGGCAGGTGTCACAGCCTGCATGATGTCTGTGTAAAGTGCTGGGTAATCTATCAGGTAAGGAATTACTGAGCCGATTAGTTTAGATGATGGCAGCTCTTGTTCTGAGGGAGTGTCTGTGGATGTAGAAACTTGGTGTTATTGGAGAAACTGAGGTTTCAACGTTTGCGCATGAAATGATTCTGTAGTATAGTAGACTTACAATAAACAGCACATATTTGTGGTAATGGTAAAAACTGCAAAAATAAAACCACTCCTGAAAGTTTTGCATTTGAAGTATCTGGCTTCAGGGATCACAAAAGCTGCTTGAATCACAGGCTACAAGGGGCTAAATTGTCAGTCTTCAAACATGTACATGTACATTCTAATGAGCTTAATATAAATGTTCAATGCATTTGAATATGTGCAACTAAGATCAAAGTGCATTGTTAGAATTTGTATGAAGAAGTATGTTAACAATGGAGGTCTGGATGGGGGGAGACTGACAACACTTAATGCTAAATGCAGGAAAACTTGCAAAATTGGGAAACCTTGCTATGAGTTCTGTGAAATTAAATAGCTTTCACTTCAAATAATTATGGGACAATCAACATAGTTTGCATATGATTTACAAAAAGAGCTAGAGGCATGCTGCCCTCATCCACTTCCTTTAAAAGACAAAGAGTCTCAGAAAAGATGAATGAGGAAGAAGAACACAAAGAATCAGAAGATGAAGTAATGCATGATAATTATAGAATGCCTAAGCGGCATGATGAGGGATGCTAATCATCTCACCACTTAACCTGCAAATAGACATTAAAGACTCCATTAATCAAACCAAAGTGCCTCAAAACAAAAGGCAGTCAAAGTGCCTTCAGGGAGGAGAATTATGTGGGTGTTCTGGTAGGGTTGATAGTTATCATCGAAATGTTTGTGTTGAGATCTACAGTCTTTAATTATGGGAAACCTTCTTTCAACTCGTACATTTTAATCATTGTTTTGAAATTATTGAAATTGATTATTCTTGATTAGACAGGAAATTAACAAATGCCACTGAACACATAAGTTCTTGGCAAAGGGAAGTATTCCAAGTAACTTAAATCTTCATTATTAACTTTACACCAACTGCAAAATAACAGTAAGATACAAACAATTAGTATAAAACAGTGGATTGTATAGATTAGTCACAAACTTCAAGTGTAATGTTTCTATCATTGAAAAGATAACATTTTGACCAACAGCCAGCAGAATAACTTTTCTATTATATGATAGTAGACCTGATCTAGAGTGGCTAACAACCATTATGCAAGGAATTAGTTGTATTATGTAATTTCAAAATTATGCTATGATTGTTCTAACAATTGCCTCCTTACAGGGTGGCTCGCACAAAGAAAAAACTTTCCCTTTGAGTAAACATCTGAGTTCGAGACTTGGATAGGGTATCCGGGCAAAATTAGAGAGGATGCTCCGATCAAAGGTTCCGTCCTCGCGCTACAACGGCTTCAGACAATAGAGACGTAACCCGATAGGGGCCAGTGTCACCTGCACGGGGTCGGACGGTTTCATTAGCATCACCTGTGTTGGTGTAATACCTGTGCAGCGAGCAGACAATATTGTAGGACGGATAAATACCCTGGTCTTTCGCTTCAGCACGGAGGGCTTTTGTTTGGCTCGTTTTGACGCGGACATTGGGAAATGCCTGCGGCAAAATTAAGCCCGGTCCAGAGCTTTCATCCTCGGTGTATGCGTAGGGATTTGGCAGTATTTACGGCGGCTGTTTAGTTGTACAGTCGCTCGTGCATCCAGGAGTAAACACGCGGACGGAATCCTCTCCCAACAGTTTGATTGCGTTTGGGATTTGTCACATTTTTTTTGCCACGCACAAATCGGGGCTAAAAGCATCTTGCCTCCCAATACCCCCCAACAAAGCTAGATTACGACACAGACTGGGTATATAACGTCACGCTAAGACCTGCTAAGAGCCAGCTTTAGTTGTATGTGGCGTGCCTTCCTTTAGTTCCCATTTAGCGAGAAACCAAGGATTTGGGGTATAGAGGAATTTCGCCAAGGAAACTGTGAACTAAGTGCTTGGCTAGGAAATAGGCAAGGAGGTTTAAGAGTTTAACCTCATTGGAATGAGGTATATGGGTCACTAGAACAGGACTCATCATTGGCTACCTCCCTGCCACTGTAATATTGCAATTATACAGTACTTAGGTGAAAGAATAGACCAAACAAAGAATAAGAAAGGTCATTTCAATTGGCAAGTTTGATCACAACAAATGAAAGTTAAAATCTTTGTTAGCACAATTACTTTTTACCATGTGCTACCCTAAAAGTTAGTGACTGCTTTACATTCAATTCAGCAAAATGCTGCCTTGTTGCTTCCTTGTTTCCCTACCCAAAAAATGCAAGCAAGGGTTGTCCCCTATCATATCAATTAAGGTGTGAAAACAGTCTTAAAGCTACCAAAGAAAGTCCACCAGCTATTCAAACAATAAATGTTTTGGATAGATCTCATGGTGTATACCATTACCAAGGACAGATATAACAGGTTGTCTTTTAACAGAGGCTGAAGTATGTTTGACAGGAAAAAAACAAACTTTAACGTCTCAACTTTGATTGGGAGTTTACACTTCAGGTGATTGACAGTTGAAGGGCTACTGTAAGGTCAAAGGTGAAGATTGTGGGCTCTGGCCATTAATCAACCTGTCACCCCTGTCAGTTCAGTGAACTCTTCCAATCTTTTCCTCCTGGCACATAAGAAACACATGTTGGAGCTTTGCAAACAGTTTTTTTCTTTAAACTTTTTAAGTCACAGAAAGTGCTCTAACAACATGGATGAGCCTTTATGCAATGTATAGTTACAAAATGTAGGAAATAATTTTATAGCCAAACTCTCTCAAAGTGAAAATGAACTTCATTGTTGCAATCTGAGATGGAAGAAAAATAAGCAGTCAACAATACAATGTGAAAGTTGGGACAATATTCTACTGCTTTGAACAATATATAATGAATCTATTCAATGATTTTTGGCAATATTGCATTTAAAAAAATGATATCAACATCTGTCGAACTCTGGACATAGGTAGAAAGAAAAAGTTTCTTGACAATAGTATTTTCTCTTTGTCATGTTAGTATTGTTACATGTGATACGCTTTACATATATGCCACGTCTGTCTAAAATGGGTCGACAAAAGAAACTAGCAAAACCTGTGCCACATAGTGCAATGTGACATCTTCCCCTGAACAATTTGTGGCACCTAATTTGCTACGTTTGAACAGAAAAAAGCACCGAATCGGATTAAGGTCTGATCATCCGCCCTTTTTGAGACAAAGGGAAGATTTAATCCTATAATCTATGGAAAAGACTGTTGAAAAGAAGCAAGCACATCAAACATTATTCCACTATTAACATAATGTTGCATTAGGAAAATTACATAGTACCAAATCCTGGCTGGCAGATGGCAGAGCAGGAATAGCCTAGACAATAGGTCATTTAACTAAACCCCCCTCTAAAGAGTTCTTAGAATGATTTACTGGTCTTTTTAAACACGAGGAAACTTATCATGACAACAAAGACGAGATAAGGCTGTAAAAGGGTTTTTTGTTGAACGTGCTATAAAACTAAAGGATGGCACGATGACTCATAATAAAGCTGACAGAATACACAAAGACCCCTAAGTGAACACCTGCTTGCACAATAATCTCCAAGCAGATCTTGTGGTGGCTGCTATACAGCATCAAATTGGCAAGACAGTTTCAAATTGGCAAGGCAGTATCCTTACATATCCTTTTATATACAAGCCACCTGCTTGCATATAAAAACGATACCAATAAGAAAGCAAAGTCCCATAAAAGCATGTAAAAAAATAATTAAGAAAAAAGCAGAAGCGTATAAAAATGATACCAGTACAGAAAGCAAAGCCCCATAGAAGCAGGTAAAAAATTAATTAGGAAAAAAGCAGAAGCCTTTATTTTTTCCTTGAAATATCATTTTTCTTTGTTTATGTTACAGTAATAGTTCAGTCTGTCGAATGAGTTGCTTCTTCCACTGCATTGCTTTATGCAAGAACACGACTTCAGCACAAAATCAGGCTATTTAATAAATCTTGGGCTATTTTTTTTTAACAACAAACACTAGAAGTACCTTTTTAAGTTTGCCTCTTTCTTTTCTGCAACTTGAAAGGATTTGTCATGTTACAATGGGAAAATGTAACAGTAACAGAAGAAAATTGCATCCATTTTTAATATACATGTATATTTCAAATGTGTTTTTTTTCAGTAAGCTTGAAAACTATGACATTCTGCAATGTTTTAAAGGAAAGGCATAAAAAGAGCAGGCTTGTCTTCCTTACATGTTCTGTAGAGCTGTAATTACAGAGGAAACATCAGTCTAAGCCTGAGGGGTACTGTTTAATGGTGCAGAAACACATCTATCACCAACCCTTAACCACACCACGCTTCCTGCTGAAACACTACAAGTTCAAGTCTTTAAAGCCGCAAAAACTTTGCCTTACTTTCA